CAAAACATATTGAGGTTGATTGTCATTTTATTCGACATCATGTTGCCAAAGGTACTGTCCACCTAGTCTTTATTGGCTCTGCTGATCAGCCTGTAGATCTCTTCACTAAGGCTCATTTTCCTGGATGCTTCCGTAGTTTTCTTTCCAAACTCAAGCTGGTCTCCTCTTCACCACCTTGAGTTTGATGGGGGATGTTACAGAATATTCTCCCTTGATTATGTCCACATTACTATGATTATATTCAGATTATAATTGATTGATATAATTAGATTAATTGATTTTGTACCACAGAATATTCTCTTGTACAGGCCTATAAATAGGCACTTTGTATATTCAAATGAATCAAGAAAAGTATTTTCTTCATATTTTTCTCTCCTGCTTATTTCCTCACAATATTGAAGGCTATTTGTTCCTTAAAATGGCTTATGTGATACTATTATTTTGAAATAGAAATTTGATTTGGTCTCAAATGCAAATTATCTAGATTTTGCACATATTATGAGAATAACAAATTGGTATATAGTATTGAAATGAAAAAATGACAAATTATGTATCATTTATTGTCAAGATGTTGCCATAATGTAACTTTTTGCCCATACATGATGCTGCCTCTATGCTATACCAAATGCTATCAAAAATATTGACGGTTTACCAAAACCACATCAAGCATACCAAATTGTCTATACAAAATTCAGTCTGGTTTTGACATTATGGAATTCATCATAACCACAACAAAATTAACCACATCAAAATAAACCCCTATGTATCATTGGTATGTTCTTGTCAAAATTCACACAATTTTCATTGTCAATCTCATCTATAGTTTGTCTTGCTTTAAATTCTTCAGACATTGTAGGAGTAACTAAAGAAGAAGCCATCAAACCAAATGTATTGATATGCCACCAGCTAAGCAAGAAAAAAAATATCAATCAAGTTCGGGCATTCAAGAATATGCACATATGGTTTGTCAAAGAACAAACCTCAAACATAACATGCACATAGTTTCATCAAGCAGACTAATTTAGATTTCATAGAAAATGTGCCAATAAAGGCAAAAACAATGCATTTAGGTTTCATGTAATCAATTATTAGGTTTCGAATTCAATCATTTCATGGAGTCAAAAGTCAAATGAGTAAGTTCTTTTCTGACACCTGTCAAGTTTAGATTGAGTCTGACCAATCGTTTCTCTAATTATCCTACACTTGACCGCAGCCTATAATTTTACAGATCGCTGCGCCTGAATCTAGAGTCTGTCGGTTTAGCTACTGTTTGGTTGGAAGGAAAATGAGGCAGAAAAAGGAGCATGCCCTTAGTCCCTAAAAGCATTAAAAGCATTCCAGTATATATCGAATTGCGTTTGACTCTTTTGTTCTGTTTTCTTTTGTTGATTCGTCGTTGTTTTTTTTAATGTGTAAATGTGTTTTACAGAATTGTGAAATTAAATATTTTCAGGGTTGATAGCCTGTTTGGATAGAAGTATTAGTTATCAATTGAAATTGAAGCTGAATTTGTCACTGATGTAACACTAGGCGGCACAGCTGTCCGTAGCGCCGTTACAATTGTCTGATTCCACGGGTTACAATGGGTATGAAATGGACGAATCTGTAATTGCACCAAACCAGAAGTCCTTCTCAGTCTGCAATTGCACTTCGGGATGACCTGCAAAGCCCCGAGGTGGAACTCGGGGTAAACACTCCGATGCTTAAGTCAGCAATAATCGGGGCTACCTTTAGAGCGGAGATAAGAAAAGCTTAAGGTTGGTTTCAATTACCTTTTGACGTGGCCCGGAGGGGGTATTTATAGGATTCAATGAGGAATCCACGTGGCATGCCAAGCAAGATAATCGGAGCCTGACGTGTTCATCCAGACGATTATTCCAGGACCGGGAATTTGAGAGGTATCCAGATGCACAAGCGTCCACCATACTTGCTGTGCGACTCATCATAAGGAATCAGGTGCGGGCATGCTTATTGTCATTGCCATGCATCTATTTGAGCGGGAAGCGTTGGGTTTATTCTGCACTTCGGTCATAGAGGAGTTACTGTAGCAGTTCGAGTCTTGGTACCTCGGACCTGTCCTTACAGAATCAAATCCAATTTGATGTTTGGAAATATAGGTGTGATGATAGGAATTTACTTCAAGCTCTTCTCAGACGTGCAGCAGTTGGAAGTAGGATTTTAGTGACCACTCGTGACTATGGAGTTGCGGCAGGGATGATGAAGTCTTGTTCTACATTCTATCTGAAACAATTGACTCAAGAAGTTTCTTGATTGATACTCAGTCAAGAAGCATTTATTGGATGGGGTGAGGAAGAATGTGGAAGCTTAAAGGATATTGGCTGGAAAACTGCAGAGAAAAGCAAAGGATTGCCACTTGCTGCTAAGACTTTAAGGTGCCTCTTGAGATTCAAGAGAACGAGGGAAGAGTGGGAAAACATCCTGTACAGTGACATGGGAACTGGATTTGGTACAAAAATGTGTTTTTGCTCCTGCCTTCGTGCACAAAAGTGAAATTTGATCTGACGAGTCCTGAATTGAGGAAAAATAAGTAAGCACTCTTCTAATTCTAATAAATTGAAAAGAGAAAGGGATGTCATTTCTCCTCCTGTAAGTCTAAATCACACTTTCTAATACCTAAATTTATTTTTGCAGGTACAGGCAACATACTTCTTCTTATTGGGAAATCGATTCGCATCTTAAACCTCCGCCAAAAACTGGCTAGTTCCATGCTTTCGTAATGTGAGAGAGTTGCTGTTGTTGGTTTTATGTTTTTTACATTGAGAGACCTACTTCTACCATTGGTTGTGTTTTGTTTTTTACATTAAACAAGCCATGCATTTGTAGGTATTTTTATGTAGCTCTCTTTATGTTGGTTCATTCTATTAGATTGCTAAATGCAAAAATTATCAATTCTGATGTCACTGGTGATTTTTTCTTTTTCTTTTTATATTATAGACAAAGGAAATAAGTGTGAACACTTGTGTACTCAACTTTAAAACCTTAATTTTAAAGTTAATATACATATCAACTTGCTTAAGCTCTTATTAGTTCAAAAAAGCCAAATTTTAAATCTAGCAAAACTAGAATATGATAAAACTTCTTACTATAATACAATTTTCATGTTTCTGAATACTAGATTGTTTTTTCTGTACAAATGTTAGGAATAACAATCACACCAAAAGAAAAAAATAAAGTTTCTCCAGTCTTCAATCGACTGAAAATAGGTACTGTTTGGTTTGAGGGAAAATGAAGCAAAAGGAAAAACCGAGCCAATCAGCACCCAAAGCTACTGACATACTGTGAGGTTTGTGACAATAAATATTCATAATTTTTCCAATAACAAATTACGATCAATATCAACAAAAAAAGAAAAAAAAAAAAGTCACAAATAGACCTTTATTCTGATTTGGATTGGACTTCGACAAATAGGGTATGTTTGGATATTCCTTGAGTACTCTTCACAGGTCTGTAAAAGATAAAGGTCATTCAGAAGTTGAGTTATATTGTGTAAAGAACTATTTCTTTCCAATATATATATATGAAAAGATGAAAATGCTGTTGAAAATATCAGTTAACAGTAGTTATGCTTTTTTAATTTGTAACTGTTTCTTTAGTTTTTTGCAGTTAAGCTCTAGTTTTTGGTAGTTTTTTTCTTTTGCAAAACTGATATGTACATGCTGTATGTATTTTTCAGCAACTCTTATGTCTCATTTAATTGGAAATTAAAAAGAGAGCTCCATATCAGAGAAGCTCTTGTTCTGCAATATTTTGGTTCTGCATTTTCTGTATTCTTTTTACTTTATTGCAGAAACTTGCAAATGCATTCAAGGAATACCTGATGCCCACAACCAAATGCCATGTCCCTTGGGTTGGAAAAACAAATGGGGCAACGCTGTCAAGAACAACATATAATCTTAGTCTCTTGTTACTAGTTTACTTGAGAAGCATTCTGAAATAATAGCTACTAAAACAAGGAGTTTCAAAAGTAATTTAAACTGCAAGTAAAGACAAAAAACTCAAGAAGACTTGGATCCCCATACTATTTTTGTTCCAAGAGGTTCTAGTTCAGTATAATTAATCCTGTTGTTGTGATCAGAAGACTTGGAACATCATTTCGAATGCCTTATACTTGAACATCATATGCAGAAGCGCGGGATACAAGAGGAGGAAGGGGGACACTCTCGGGAATATTTCCCATCTGATTGCTGCCCAAGAAATAAGTAGAAAATATGTAATGCTGTTGCTAATGGAAAACTTTGCAGGAAAAAAACACACGGAAGAACATGATTTATTACCCTAGAATATTAAGCTCTATAGTGGCCTTATACTGTGAGGGAATCTTCATTAATGCAGCTAAAGCAAATTCTGTCTCTTTCTGTGTTTGAGAAGTATTCTTTAACATAATCTCTGTGAAGTTCACAAACTATCAAGAGATAGAAAACCAAGTCAAGAAAAAGCCTCATCCACCTTGTAGTCTTGCTGACAACAATACATCAAAACTAAACTACAACAAATAAAACCAAAGATTATTTGTGTTCCCAATACTTACCTGGAAATTATCAAATGCTCGAGAAGGGATATTATCATCAAACTCCTTCATCATGTCCCAAGGCCCATCTCCAACCCCGACCAATACAATTGACAAAGGAAGCTTGCTGTGAAAGACAAAATGAAACAAGCATTTAAGAATTGAGAAAGGAAATGGTTGCATAGACATGTAATTCTAGAGAAACAAGCTATATCATGATTACCTAGCTTGTACAATGGCATCAACAGTCTTTTGCTCTTGCAGACTCAGCCATCCACGCTCAGTATCAACACTTCTAGTTACCTGACAGAACCATCATTCTTAATGATACAAAACATACAAATTTGCAGTGAATTTTCTACTACCATTACTATTAAAAGAATAAGATTTACTAAAAAGAAAAAGAGACTCATAAATAGGGTAGGAAAACATCTTATTAGCATTCTTTAATTTGTCTCCTTTGCAAGCTTATTCAATTTTCCTGTTTGCCTGCTTTGCTCCCTTTTTTTTCCTTTTTAGTAAAACAACAACCTAGCCATATATGTAGCACATCTTCTCGTACCTGCCCATCTGCAATTATCAACAACACATGGTACTAGCCAACACTCTACTATTTGATAATAAAAGAGGAAAAATGGTCTTTTGCCCATGAGTTTCTAACAGTTCAGGTTGAGTATCAGAATCCCAGAATCTTGTGTGCTGGAATTCATATTCCTTAACAGGAATTATGTTGTTGCAATCGAGGGCTTGATGGGGTAAACCTCTAAAAAGGAGGAAACATAAATTCATCAATTACTTAAACGAAATCTTCTTTCACTCTAGTAGTGGTAAGAGTTAGGATTCATTGTCTAGGAAACTAATGAGTCCACAGTGTAATTTGGTCATAAAGCTATTGGGGTTGTGCTTTTCTTCAATTGGGTATGTTACTTGTTCCATTTAGCTTGGATTTTTTGTTTCCCATTTTAGTCTGCCTTTTATCTTCATGGAAAACCCACTTAATTGATTTGTTTAGCTGCATTCTCTAGCAACTCGCAAAGAAGAAATGAATAAACTCTTACTTTGTGTTCGGTTATTTCTCAAAGAAATGGAGAGAGACGTTGAAGAGCTGAAATCCAGTTTCCATTTCAGTTTTCCAGCATTTGTACATAGAGAGTTATTTTGAAATTCAAAAAATACAAGCTAAGGAGCTCTTTTACAACAATATTTTATCATCAAAATAATACACATCATCACATGGCTCCGACTAGAAATATGACTAGAAAAGGACACAAACAGTTTGGTTAGTTTCAGTTTAACCAAACTGAACTTGGGCAGCTTGATGGCACTGATATACTGCTACTGCCACCTAAGCTGCTTCACGTAACTTCCATCACTCCTCCTTGACATCAAGGCTACACATTCCAACTTGTTCTCTTAGTAGCTCGAACCTAGATTTTTGCAAACGCTTTGTAAAAATGTCAACTATTTGCCCCTCGGAATTGCAATAAACTAATTGAACTTCATTTTTGAATTTTCTCCTAGAACCAGTGAATTATTAACAGCTTTGCAACTCTTCATAGCAAACTCCTCCTGCATTGTAATTCTCCCGACCTTTGATCTTGTAGCTTCTAAATAATTTGCAAGTTCTTCAATGACCATGTTACACCTTTCATAGATGTCAACTTGTGTTCTGGTCCCTCTAATAGCAAAAACATCATAAGATTCATCATCATTCTCCTGCTCAAATTCATCATTCCCAAAATCAAATATTGGTTCATCATTTGCTACAAGAACCTGATCTGCAGCAACAATTTTCGAACTTTCCCAGTTCCAAGTTGCACTTTCATCAAATTCCTCGCTTTTGCTCACATCAACAACACTAGCCTTTGGACTAATTTCAATTTGTTTCCATTGAATAGGAAAACTCCTTTCATTCATTCTAACAGTAAACATTTTTGAACCAGATTCATCTTCTACTTCACATATTTTGTCATGAAAATGAAGGACATAACC